GTCATGTGTGGGGTTCTGTAAATAAACCGTTTTATTTAAAAAAAATTTTTAAATAAATTCCTTTAAATATTCTTGTGGACAATGGAGAGGCTGGGAGTCAAATTTAGAACCACTGATCTAAAGTGACGTCTGACTAGATGCAAATAAGTAATGAGGGTGAAGTGTGCACTGAACATGAACTATTTGGGTCTGCAAACGCTTACCAAACTGTTTGTCCTGCTTGTAAGAGGGGCTGTAGCCAGGTTCACAGGACATATCACAGTTAGGAGTGTCTCCACCCTCTCCGGTGCAAGGAGGGCGACTGCCATTCACATGATGCTCACAGGGTTCAATGGTGTATGGACGGCAGCCTAAATACAAGCAAGTTATATTAAGCGCCAGGTTTCCCCAATCAATCATAATAATATCAGGGAAGTCACTAACCAACATGGGAGTTATAGAGTCCACCGGTGACCAGACCGTCTGAGTTCCAGAAATTCCAAGCAGCAGAGGGGTATCCACCGTTACATCTGAGATTAAAACAAACAGCATTAACATCGTGTGCCAATTAAAATGCAAAGTCTGGTAGTGTGATTCGCAGTCAGCAAGGGTATGATGCCAAGGGTTTTCAAATGGTTTCAGATTTGAAAAGATTGTGTATTCCAACATTTGGTCAAGCAACTGCATTAATCTAAACACCAGATGCATGAGGATGAAAGTCAAAAAGTTTGTACAGTCTTGACATTGTCAAATCGACTGAGCCATACATGTACACAGTCCTGTAGCCGTAATGACATTACAGCATTGTCTAACTTACCCCATGCCACAGCTGTCACAGCAGGTAAGCAGGTCCTGAGCGGAGATCTCCACACTCACTTTGGCATTGCTGTGGACGCATATTCTGTCAGATATGGCTTCAGCAGCTCCAAATGCCTGCGAAGAGAATGATGCTCAACCTCAGTAAAAACATGAAATGTATAAATAACGGAAACCTAAGGTCATACTGCAACCACCGGAGAGAAGACCTCACCCAGCATGAACCGCAAGAACCCTGGTCTCTGATCTCTTTAAGAGTGGGGCAGTTGGGCCACTGCTCTCTGGCATCAAAGTTAGTGGGGAGCTTGACGTCATCAGCATACTGTACCCTGGTTAAAGACAAGGTAAGATTTGTTATACCAGAATGCAGAACTGAAAGCAATAAGTATAAGGAAACACAAAGTAGTCATATGTATACCATGACTGCAAAGTTACCAAGTTGCACTTCTTTGATTCTTCTCTACTCACTTTCCATCTCACACAAAATTCTACTGAACTCACATGACAGGGAGTTTGGGTCCTTTGAGCAAAGTCCCACACAGCCTCTTCACATAGCTGTAGTCTACATCACGGAAGTTGTGTCCAGCCTATAGGAGAGAATAAGTTTAATGTGAAATTATGCAATAGACGCTAAAAATAAAATGCCTCAATACAAAGATCTTTCCAATACTGGCTCATTTATTCTCACTAGGATGCGGTTTAGGGAATCAGTGAATAGAACAGCTTCTTACCTTCCAAGTAGTGTTTGCTTTATTGATGAAATTTACCATCTCATGGGAGAGGGGAGCGAGGCGAGGTCGAGCCCAGCTAACCGAAAGGGCTGAGACCACGCACAGGAAAGCCAGCCGCCACATTCTGAAACA